CCCAGACACACACACACACACACCCACCCCCAGACACACACACACACACACACACACACACACATATACATGCACCCAGGCATCTCTCCCAGTCCTGGACACACACACGCACAGCCCACTTAATTGTTTGTGAACATTGACCTATTCATTCCTTCTTCGACTGATGTTCAGTAGCAGCAGTGAGAGCCATCTGCAAGATGCAAAAATTCACCAAGGTTCCATTGACAGAACATTCCAAACCCACAACCACTTCCATCTGGAAGGACGAGGGCCGCAGATACATGGGAATATTAACACCTGCAAGCCACTTATCAACCTGGGTGGGAAATATATTGCCTTCCTTCACTGTGGCTGGATCAAGATCCTGGAATTCCCCTCCTAAGGGCACTATGAGTCAAACTACAGGACATGGACTGCAGCACGTCTCAAGGCCAAGTGTGGATGGGCAATAAATGCTCGCCCAGCCAGCAAGGCTCATACCCCATCAGAGTATAGAGAAAGACCAACAGCATTGGGCCAACAATTCATAGAGCTGGAGAAATCATCTCATTTACTACAATGGAGTATATCTTAGGCTTACTTCTATGATTCCATGTATCTGATTCTAACTCACTCTGGTCATCTAACACTCACTACAACAACTACTCTCAGACTAATTAGTTGCATTTTCTGATGCTATTAGCATCACACTAAATAGCATTCACTTGATCTAGCAGACAAATAACATTTTATCCACTAAACATAACAGGATTTCCATTTGAAATCTTACACCACAGCAAAAGGGGATTCCACCCATAGTGCCTCTGCAGGCCTTTTGGAAGATCTGCTTAACCCTAAGGCCTACACAAAGCAGTTACATCCCTGTAACCCTGAAAATTCATTCTCTTCAACTACAATCCAGTTTCCTTTTGAAAGTTTCTGTGTGATCTGATTGCATTAGCCTTTCATGCCAGTTCTTTGTCATAAAAACCGAAAGAACTGTGGATGCTGTAAATCAGGAACAAAAACAGAAGTTGCTGGAAAAGCTGAGCAGGTCTGGTCTCAGAGCTCTGAGGAAGGGTCATCAGAGCCGAAATGTTAACTCTGACGTTTTCATCACAGATGCTGCCAGACCTGCTGAGCTTTTCCAGCAACTTCTGTTTTTGTTCAGCTCTTTATCATACCTGTGTATGAACAAATGTATCTCCATCTCTCCTCTCGTTTTTTCACTAATAGTTAAAAAAAAAACTGAAACCTTGATCCTTTATTCTGTGGCTTGATGCCAGACTGAATTTTGGTCTTTTATCCTGTGGCTTGATGCCACACTGAATTTTGGCTGCTTAGAGACTGGTCAAGGAAAACCAAGGCTTCAGGCCGAGATTTTAAATTCACAATATTTACAATACATTAATGCTAACACTGCTGTGCATAAAACCCATAGATCTACCAGGCTCTGATTTATAGTTAAATTAGTTGATGACAACACTGTCTTCTCCATGTGTTCATGTCCATGTGCTCTCAAGATTCCCAGTTCTAGAGAGCTAGTGTTCTAACTCCGCCCATGCTGTGTTTTTTTTAAACTCAATGAACCATAACTCTGTGACATCATCACAAGGTTGCTCCAGGATCCTGAAGCCCTTATAAAACACACTGGTTAGCCAATCACTTTGAGTCTCCTGCAAACTTTGAAACTGTGCACCCCCTTCTCAAGTCCAAGTCATCCAGGAGAAACACAATAGTATCTTATCCTGACCCCTTGAGGATACCTCTGCATACTACACCGTTAATCATGCTCTTCTCCTCCTTAGCCAATTATGTGCATGGAAATATTTTCTAATCAACCTGTTCAGATATTATTACACACACCTCTGGACCAGGATGGGACTTGAACCTAGGTCTCCTGGCTCAGTAGTAAGGACACTACCACTGCACTACCAGTGGCCCTCCAAATACATGCACAAAATACCACTGTTCTATGTCCCTAATAATTCTCATGGTACTTTATCAACTGCATTTTGGCACTTTATGTGCATGACATCTACTGTACTACCCCCTCTAACTTTCCGTTACTTCATGAAAGAACATAATCAGATCTGAATTAACATTAACAAATCTGCTGTCTGTCCTTAATTAACCGATGTATTTCCAAGTGAAAAATAATTCTGTCCTTACCCACCATTAGTCCCATACTGACTGAGATATAGGTACCAGTTAACAGATTGGAACAATTGCAGTCATCCAGTCCTCAGGCAATTCTCACATACCTAAGGAGAACTGAAACATTTTGATCAAAGCTTCTGTTACTTCCACCCTAATATCACTTAGTAACGCAGGATATATCATACCTGGAACAGGTATCTTGTCAAATTTCAGTCATGTTAAATTATTTATATCCTGCCCATTACCTCCATGGCACCATTTTCTGTTGTGAAGTCTGAGGAAAGATATTGTTAAATTCAGAAAAGACTTACATGGATGTTGCCAGGATTAGAGAGTTTGAGCTATAGGGAGAGGCCAAATAGGCTGGGGTTATTTTCTCTGGAGTACAGAAGGCTGAGGTTTATAAAATCACGAAGGGCAAATATGTGAATAAGAAGGTTTTAAGAGGGATATGGGGCAAATGCTGGCAAAAGGGGCTAGATTAATTTAGGATATTTTGTCATTATGGACGAGTTAGACTAAAGGATCTGTTTCCATGCTGTACGACTCTACGACTCTAAGTCCTCATTCAATATCTCCTTAAAGAACATTCCATTTTTCTCTAGTCAGCACCTCTATTTCTTTGTGTAGCTACCATTTCATATGTTTCTTTTTAAAATACAGTAATTTTTAATTCTCAAACTCCATTTTTGGTTTTCTACTCTGTCATTTTCCCTTCACTCTATATTCTGCTTGGTTTTCCATCGTATTCTGTACCTGCCATTAGTCATAAACTGCCTTTCCTGTGTCTTATTTAACCGATGTGTTCCAGATCATCCAAGAATTTCCTGTTGTGCATGTCTCATTCTTCTTCCCGATAGAAAGATAATTGGTTTGTAGCTGCAGTCTCTAGATTCTGCCATTGTCTACTTAATGCTTCCTCAGTCAGATTCTGTTTGCAGTGATCGGTGTCAGTCCCCTCCTCAAATCATTGAAATTCATTCCTTACCAGCTGGCTTTTGTTTCACCGAATTTCGCTCTTGCCCCTTTAACTTCTTTAAATCTACTTATATGATCACTATTACCCAAATGTTCAAACTGTTGCCCTACTTTATTGTCAAGAACTAACTAAGCTCTGCGTCCTTGCTGGTGGCTAAGAAACAGGATGTTGGATGTTCTTCTAGAATTTTAGGAATGCTGTTTAGCTTTTACTCTCTTTCTTCTCCAACACCACCTCCACCCTCACACACCGCACCCGCCCCCCAACCCTCAGTTTCTATTACTTTAATTATTTTTACTTTCTTCTGAAATTTTCTCTCAGATGTGCCCCTCTGTCTCCTTCTCCCCATTTTGGGGTCACAGTGAACATGCTGCAATATAACAGATCCTGTTTCTATTCCTTTAACTTGAAACAAACAGATTTAATCTTTGAGCTCTCTGACATGCCATGTCTCAGCAGAATTGTATATTGTTTTAAATCAAATCTCTGTGCGATCAATCCAATGGGTTGCTGACAGAATGCTGCACTGTATTATCTTCCAGAGGAGACATTAAACAAAGATAATGTCTGCCCTCTCTGTCAGAAGTGGAAAATTTTAATGGAAATATTAGCTATTCTGAGTGTTTTTAATCAATATTTAAACCCTCAAGGGGGCTAGTTAGCTCAGTTGGCTGGATGGCTGGTTTGCAATGCAGAGCAACACAGAGCAACACAACCTTCTGATTATTAACATATCCCTGTTTGTGGGAAACTCATTATATACCAAAATGGGCTGCTGTATTTGAAACATTAGATCAGTGTCTACAATTGTAAAGTACTTAAATTGGCTGTACCGCACTTCGAACATCGTAAATGGTAAAAGGTAAAAGGGGCTATAGAAACGCAGGTGTGTTTGGCTTTCTTTATTTCCTCCGTATTGGCCCCATTCACCTCACACTAACCAGATGTATTAGTCCCCGACAAGTCAGTCCTTTTTACTAACCTGTACCAATAGTTTTATAGCAACGGTCCTCTTGTATGTGCTAAATGTTTCACCAGCCCACACTAATTTTTCTCATCAAAAAATTATTGGCTTCACACTGACATATTCCATACACTAACCAGCTTCACTGACTAGTTTCACCACGCATACGCTGACCAGTTTCACTATTTTAACCAGGTCCTCCGTTTAAACACTGACCGGCTTCACCAGGAGATAGCAAGAACTGCAGATGCTGGAGTCAGAGGAAGAGTGTAAAGCCGAAACGTCGACTTCCTGCTCCTCTGCTACTGCCCGACCTGCTGTGTTCCCCCAGCTCCACACTGTATTGACCGGCTTCACTAACCATTCACACACCGACCAGTTTCACCATTCTGCACAGTATGCAGCGCCCTCTCTCCTTCCGCTAACTTACCGGCGGCTGCTGGCTGACTGTCCCGCCGCCTGCTCCGGGGATCGGGGCTGCAGCACAGCCGCTGTGAACGGATGGTGGAAGGCGGTAGCGCTGGGCACGGCCAGTACCTGGAGCAGGCACCAGAGCAGGAGAAGCGGGGTCATCCCGGGACTGAAGGAAAGGTGCAGCCTGTGGCTCAGTTTCTCTGCTCAATGTATGACCATGAGCACCGAAGCCGCTGTGATTGTGAGAATGTGGAGTTAGCACTGGCCCTTCTCCAAGTTATTGTGGCGACTCCACGGGTCCCAATGGCACACTGCTCCTGGTGAATCGGCCGGCCCATTCCGGGGAGTTACCTTGATTCATTCATACACACAGCCCCAGTAATTCACACATACAGCCTTATTAACTCTCTCGGAGCCAGATACACACAAACACACCCCAGCCCTGTGCCAGCTTCCCCCATGCTCAGGGACACGATCTGCTTCCTGGCAAGCCCACCAACTTCACAGTACACATCTATCAGCCTTCCCTTGAGAGGCTACTCTACTGTCGTGACCATAGAGTCACACAGCACGGAAACAGAGCTTCCCGTCCAACCAGTCCATGCCCAACACAATCCCAAACTAAACTAGTCCCACCTGCCTGCACCTGGACCATATCTCTCCAAACCTTTCCTATTCATGTATCTATCCAAACGTCTTTTAAAAGTTGTAATTGTACCCACATCCATCACTTCCACAGGAAGTTCATTCCACAAGTGAACCAACCTCTGCGTAAAAAAAATTTGCTCATCGCGTCTTTTTTAAATCTCTTTCCTCTCACCTTAAAATGTGTCCACAACTCTTGAAATCCTCCATCCTAGGGAAAAGACAACTGCCATTAACTCTGTCTATACCCCTCATTATTTTATAAACCTTTAATAAGATCGCCTCTCAACCTCCTATGTTCCAGTGTAAAAAGGTCCCTGCCTACCCAGCCTTTTTTAAAGTTTTCAAGCAAAGTTATCCAGCCTTTCTTTATAAATCAAGCGTTCCACACCAGGCAACATCCTGCAGGGATCAGAGCCCTAAAATTGAAATATTAATTCCACACTTTTTATTTAACAAGAACTGCCACAACCAAAAAAAACCTGGAGATTTAAATTCAATGTCTGAACTATGGAATGTCAAACAGGAAGCCCAACCAGGAGGAGATAGTGAGAGATTGACTACCCATCAACTTTTCAGGAAGCCAACTCTCAAGGTCATGCATGTGTTTAACCCTTCCAGTGACAGACAGAAAAAAAAGACCACCTTCTAATGTCTTTCTACCAAAGCACAATGGGACCCTTTCACTGCCTCAAATATATGTAATTAGTATTTTACATAATTAAAAAATGCTTTCGGGCTCATTGTAACAATAGAGAAAGTCAAAGCCTAATGTTTGTTTGTTCTCAATATGCAAAGAATGGACAGAACTGAACTGTTTCAGTAAATGTGTGTGTATATAAATAATTTTTTTATGAAAAAAGTACATATGTTTGCAAAAAAATACAAGGTGTAAAAAACAAGCTTCACCTCTGGCCTGGTTGTGTCTGTGACCACTAATTATTCTGCTGTGAAGGTCATAACTTCAGGCAACCACTAAACACATTTGCGTTGCAAGTAAAGAAAGGAAACAGATCTGCTCTCAGTTTGAGTGCTGCCAACAAGTCACCACCAGAAAGAACTACAGTCAACCTGCGAATAAGCCCAGAATCTCAAAATCCAATGTTAAACCAACAACAACACTACCCAATACCATCCCATGTAATAGCCACAGCCACTATCTACTTGTCACAGGTGACTCAGAGACTAATTTTATTTTCAAACATTTTATTTATTTTTGGGCTTACTTCTCATTTCTAGTCTGTATGTAGGTGTGTTGGGTTATTATTTTTTTTCTCAGATTTGGTGATTAATAATCTCACTCCTGTGTTAACTCAATTGTACAGTTACCAAGAGGTTAGACCAGGATTCTTTTTTCTAACATTTCCTGGGTAAGTTTCCGGGTATACATTGGAACTGTCTGAAGCCCCCAAGTCTAACTCAAGAAGTGGAGACTTTTTCAGAATCCAGGGATCCAGAGAATTGTCCATTGGAAGTCCAAACTTTCCGGGTAAATCCCACAAGAATCAGTGCGGTCCATGGGTACCTGATTTATACCTTGGGCTATAGATCTGGCCTCCGAAAATCCAGGGGCTGGAAGATCTGGACCAATAATCAGAAAAATAGTGGGAGAGTTTGAAGTAATGAAAGAGAACCAGCTTGGATTTGGAAAAGGCAGATTATCTTTGACTAAACAAATTGAATGGGTAACGGCAAAGGTTGATGGATGGGATGCATTGGATGTTTTCAAAATGGATTTTAAGAAAATGTTTGACAAAGGACCACAGAAAACTGAGGCTCATGGAATACATGAGTCTGTATCCAAATGGATTAAAGGAAACATTTAAGGACAGAAACAAGCAAGTTATGATAAATGTTTATTTTTCTTTGGAGGTAGTTGACAGTAGTGTTCTCCAAGGATCAGTGTGAGGATGACTGTTTTTGATATATGTAAATGATATGAATATTGGAATTTATCCACCATTTCAAAGTTTGCTGATGATACCACAATTAGAGGTGTGACAAATGGTTGGGATAATGCCAGTCACCCGCAGGAGGGCATGCATAAACAAACAGGATGGGCAGACAAGTGGCAAATAGAATAAAATAGAGAGAAGTGTGATGTGATGCATTTTGACAAAAGGGATAGGGAGAGACAATATAGACTGTTTGATTTTCTCTACAGTTACAAGAAATCCAAAGGCATTTGTTAATTATGCAGAGTATTATTTACATGTAGTAGAGGCACTGGGAGGGTCCAGTAACTGCACAGACCCCTCATTGTACTTTGGCAGAAAGACCTTAGATGGTTGTCTTTTATTTCTGTCCACCATTGGAAGAGTTAAACACAAGCATGACCTCTAGGGGTGGCTCCCTAAGAGGTTGGTAGGTACTCAGCCTGTCACTATCTCCATCTGATTGGTCTTCCTTTTTGGCATTCCATGCACAGAAACAAACATCGAATGCACCTGGAGACCCATCAACTCAGTGAAAGACACGCTTTGATCTGCCTGAAACTCGTTGGTCTTTCAGAGCAAGGAGTTTACCTTGACCGGGTGTTGCAGATTTGGCACATTCCAAGGTCCAGGACTAGTTGCTGAGGGACACACTAAAACTAATCGGAACTATCACCAAGGCACAGTGGGAAAGACCACTGCCTGAGGTCTTCCCGCTGAAAGTTTAACAGGAGTGCGGTCAGTTGTCAGACCCTCTCGGTGACTCAAAATAAACACAAAAAGTTTCCTGCACCAGTAGAAAATGTATTTTTTTTTGTAACTGTAAAGAAGCACTGAAAAATGTCAAAATTTCAATACCTTGTTTGTTTTAATTTCTCTGCAAAGGCTGTACAGAATTGATTTAAAACTTATAGATGATTTTATGAATAAAATGTATTTTTGAAATAAAATGAAAAGTAGGAGATGGCAAAAACAGAAATTGCTGAAAAATCTTAGCAAGGTTGTGAAGAATGGTCACTGGACCCAAAACGTCACATTGAAAAATACAGCACAAGAATGGGCCCTTCAGCCCATGATGTTGTGCCGAACATGACGCCAAATTAAACTAATCCCTTCTGCCTGCCCTTAGTCCATATCCCTCCATTCCTTACATATTCATGTGCTTACCTAAAAGTCCCTTAAACATCCCTATCAAAGCTGCCTCCACCACTACCCCTGGCAGTGCGTTCCAGACTCCTACCACTCTATGCAAAGAGCTTGCCCCTTACATCTCCGTTCAACTTTTCCCCCTCTCACCTTAATGCATGTCCCCTAGTATTACACATTTTAACTCTGGGAAAAAGATTCTGACCATCAAGCCTATCTATGCATCTCATAATTTTACAGACTTCTTTCAATTCTCCCCTCAGCCTGCTCTGCACCAGAGAAAAGAACCTGAATTTTTCCAGCCTCTCCTGTTTGTTCATTTCCCCAATGCAGGCAGCATCCTGGTAAATTTTTTCTGCACCCTCTCCAAGGCCTCCACATCCTTCTTGTAATGTGGTGACCAGAATTGAATGCAATACTCCAAGTGCGGCCTGACCAAAGTCTTATAAAGCTGCAACATGGCAATCTGACTCTTTTACTCAATTCCCTGACCAATAAAGGCAAGCATGCCACCCTATCTACATGATTGGCCACTTTCAGTGAGCTATCGACTTGAACCCCATTGTTGTTCAGAGTCCTGCCATTAAGTGAATACTTTTCCTTAACATTTGATTTCCCAAAGAGTAGCACCTCACACTTACCTGGATTAAACTCCATCTGCCATTTCTCAGCCCCCATATCTGCAACTGATCTATATCCTGCTGTATCTTTTGACAACCTTCTACACTATCCACAACGCCACCAATCTTTGTAACATTTGCAAACTTACTAACCCACCCATCTACATTTTCATCCAAGTAATTTATATATATATATATATATATCACAAACAGCAGAGGTTCCAGTATGGAACCTTGCGAACAACCCTAGTCAAAGACCTCCAGCCTGAAAAACACACTTTCACCACTACCCTCTGTCTCCTATTGGCAAGCCAATTCTGAATGCATGCAGCCAAGTTACCATGGATCCCATGCATCTTTTCATCTTCTGGATGAGCCTACCATGAGGGACCTTTTCGAAAGCGTTACTAAAATCCATATAAACAACATCCACTGCTCTACTCTCATCGATCGTCTTTGTCACTTCCTTGAAAAATTAAATCAAGTTACTAAGACAAGACCAGCTCCGCACAAAGCCATCCTGACTGTCCCTAATTAGGTCATGCTTTTCCAAATGCGTGTAAATCCCATTCCTAAGAATTCTCTCCAATAGCTTCCCAACCACCAATCAGAGACTTACCGGTGAACATAGAACATAGAATAGAACAGCACAGGAACGGTCCCTTCAGCCCACGATGTTGTGCCGAACATGATGCCATATTAAAGTAATCCCTTCAGCCTGCCCGTGGCCCATATCCCTCCATTCCCTACATATTCTTGTTCTTGTCTAAAAACCTCCACCCCCACCCCCACCAGCAGGTTCCAGAATCCAAACAATCTCTGTGTAAAAAGCTTGCGCTTCATTTTTGACCTTGAACTTTCCCTCCTCACCTTAAACGCATGACCCCTGGTATCAGAGATTTTAACTCTGGGCAAAAGATTCTGACTGTCAATCATATCTATGCATGTCATAATTTTATAGACTTCTATC